CAGGCTAGGTGGAGTAGCTATAGGAGATGCAGTGTTACAGGGAGGGGTGCTCTTTGGAGGGTTTGTGGGGACCTGATGGGCCAAGTGGCCTACAGCGTGGAAACAGGCCATTCTGCGATTTTCTTGTGCAGCAACGCACCAGTTTTGATGGCAAGTTGACCGTTGTTGCCGACAACTCTGAAGCAGAACATAGAGCCAATTCTTTCCCTCCTTATCGGATTGTCATTCATCTCCAAGAGGGACTGCTCCCTCCCTGTCCAACTTCCCCAACACAGCCCTCCTAACCCTAACCCCACAGACTATTCTCAAAGAGTCTGTTGCCTCCCTTCTCCTGGGCTGCTCACAGCCACTCCCTTCAACCCCTCCATAGACTAATTTATCTTTTCTTATCTGTGCCTTCCATTATTAACACAAGCACCATGATATGACAGCTTAAACACTTTGCACTGTACTTTTTTGTGTAAAAAAAATACAGTTGACGACAGATGACTATTCTGTATCAGCCTATCACAGCAGGTATGGAAATCACACTGGTCAACTCTCAAGTTGGTCTTAATTAAAGATCAGAGAGAGTTTTTTTGTTGTGTGATGTGCCAAACTTCATACAAACATCCCTGTCAAAACATTCTGACTGCTGACTAAAGGTGTGCAAACAAGCTGACTGATACACCATTTAAAAAAACAAACAACAAAGTGAGTAACAAATCAAATCTGGGAAAAGTACTCAGCAGGTTAGACATCTGTGGAGAGAGAAACATTTCTGAGTTTGTGACTACTTGTTAAAAATCCAGCATCAAGTAGGGGAGTTTGGACATTTTATTGTACAAGACCCTGGTGAGGAACGTTTCTAGTACTGTGTGCAGTTCTGGTTGCCCTACCATAGAAAGGGATATTATTAAACCAGAACACGTACAGAAGAGATTTACTAGGATGCTACCTAGTTGGTATTTTGAGTTAGGTTAGAGTTAGAAGGAGAGGCCAGGACTTTTCCTTGGCGTGTAGGAGATTGAGGGGGACCTTATAGAGGTTTAAGGTCATGAAGGGTGTAGATAGCCAACAGCTATTCCCCAGGGCAGGGAGAGTCTAGAACTAGAGGGCATAGGTTTAAGGAGAGAGGGGAAGAGATACAAAAAGGGTCAAGAGGGACAATTTCCACCCCCTCCAACAGAGGGTGGTGAGTGTCTGGAATGGGCTGCCAGAGGTAGTGGTGGAAGCGAGTACAATTTTGTCATTTAAGAAACATTTAGACAAGTGCATGGACGGGATAGGTACAAAGGGATATGGACCAAATGCAGCCAACTGGGCCTAGTTTAAATTGTGAAAATTGGGTAGCATGGACAAGTTGGGCCAAAGGGCCCATTTCCATGCTGTAAGCCTCACTTTGGAAGTGGGTGGCTTGTGGGGCCATTTCAGAGGGCAGTTTAGGAATCAACTACATTGCTGTGGGTCTGGAGTCAAGTGTAGGCCAGTCCAGGTAAGGATGGCAGAGTTCCTTCCCTAAAACAAAGAAGGAAAGGAGTGAACATTGATGATAGTTTCACAGTCACTAGTTTTACATTATAGATCTACAAAGCAAGTTAAAATTCCATTTGCTGCTGTGCTGGGATTTGAACCCATGCCCTTACAGCATTATAACAGGGCTATAATTCACTAGCCCATTGGCAGTACCACTGCACCACTGTTTATATTGGTCCTGGGCTGGGAGGAGAGTGATGGTGCAGAACTCCTGATAGAGACAGAGACAAGGCACACAAGATAAAAAAGGTGGATAGAAAGACACTTCTTTATTAGTAGAGGGATTGGTAACCATGGAGCATAGATTTAAGGTCAGAGGTAAAAAAGGAGGAGAGTCAAGAATTGTTTTTGCTCTGAGGGTACTGGGAGTCTGGAACTCTGCCTGAAAAGGGTGGCTGTTATAAGGAAAGATTTATTAAGCTGGAAAGGGTTCAGAAAAGATTTACCAGGAAGTCACTGGGACTTCAAGGTTTGAATTACAAAAGGAGAGGCTGGGACTTTTTTCTCTCTCCTCCCCCAGAACACAGGGGACTGAGGGGTGATCTTATAAAGCTCTATAAAATATTACGAGAGGCAGAGATAAAGTAGCCAACAGCTTTTCCTCATGGTAGGAAAGTCTAGAAAAACTAGAGGGCATTGGTTTAAGGAGAGGCTGGGGCATTTCTCACTGGAGCATAGGAGATGGAGGGTGACCTTATAAAAATCTACAAGGTCATAAGAGGCATAGATAAGGTGAATGGCAGGTGTTGTAATTCTGCACCCTAGGGCAACAAGACCAGGGAGCATATTTCTTTTAAAAAAGGAGAGGAGAGAGATTAGTTTTTAAAAAAAACCATGATTTTTTTTCCAAAAGCAGTGGTTCATGTGTGGAATGAACTTCCAGAGGAGGTGGAGGATAGAGGTACAGTTAATAGCATTTAATGGACATTTGGGTAAGTTCACAAATCGGAAAGATTCTCGCAGATATGGGCCAAATGCAGGCAGTTTAGTTTGGGATTATGGTCGGCTTGCACTAGTTGGACCGAAGGGTGTGTTTCTGTGCTGTATGACTGAGTCAGGAACTCTAGCACCGAAGCAGTATTAAGGTCATGACTTGCAAAGGTCCATAGCCTCAGGAGGCAATACTAAGAACTGGATTGGTGTAGTCAGATCTTTGCTGACTAGCACAGACAGTGGGCCAAATGGCGTCCTGTGCCATAAACACCTATTGCCTTTGAAATAGGTTGGGGGATTAGAGATCAAGGAACTATTCTATTTGCACACAAGTTTGTATTTAATAGCACCTTTTTTTAAGGAAGGAAAACTCCCAGGTGCTTTACAAATATTGACTAAAATTTGACACCAAGGCACTGAAGGCATTAAGTATAGAAGACCATTCAAGCCATCATCTGTGCTGGTTACCCAAAGAAGCAAAAATCACACAATGTCACACTCTCCCTACATCCCTGGCCATTCCTCCTCCTCAGCATCAAAAGCTCTGTCAACAAAGTAGGCTGGACTCTTTAGCCCTCAGTAACGAAGAGAGTTTGGAGAAACTGGAGTTATTTTCTTTGGAGCAGAGGAGATTGGGAGGGGTTATGATTAGAGTCGTAGAGCTGTACAGCTCAGAACAGACCATTTCGTCCAATTCAGCCATGCCAACCACATATCCCAAATTCATCCAGTTCCATTTGCCAGCATTTGGCCCATATCCCTCCAAACACCTTTTATTAAGATGTAGGAAATTCCGAGGGACATAGGTAGGATACACAGGAAGAAATATTTCCCTTTGGTGGAGGGAATCGATAACTGGGGAGGGGCAGGGACGTGAAGAAATTTTTCTTCCCTCACCCAGAGGGTGGAGGAAATCTGGAACTCACTGCCTGTAAGGGTGGTTAGAGGCAAAAACACACATCACTTTTTAGTATTTAGATGTGCACTTGTGATACTAACACTATGGGCCAAATGATGGCAAATGGGAATTGAAATAAATAGATAGGCAACTTTTGGAATACTGCATTTGATTCTGGTCTCCCTGCTATAGGAAGGAGATGGTGAAACTTGAAAGGGTCAGAAAAGATTTACGAGGATGTTGCCAGGTTTGAGCTATAGGGAGAGGCGGAATAGGCCAGGGCTATTTTCCCTGGAGCGTCAGAGGCTGAGGGGTGACCTTATAGAGGTTTATAAAATCATGAGGGGCATGGATAGGGTGAATAGGAAGTGGGTGAGGCACTGAAGAGCCTGTAACTCATTAGAGCAGGAGATTGCTGTGTGTCAGGGGAGCTGGGTGGATTAAAGCTAGCAGCTGGTTGGGAGAGGGGCAGAAGAGATAGGAAGTTTCAAAATTTGAGAGAACTCCCCCCCCCCAAGGGTTGGGGGTAGAAGAAAAGAAAGCAGGGGAGGTAAGAACTGTGCACTTATAGCATCATAGAACATAACAGCGCAGTACAGGCCCTTCGGCCCTCGATGTTGCGCCGACCTGTGAAACCAATCTGAAGCCCATCTAACCTAAACTATTCCATTATCATCCATATGTTTATCCAATGACCATTTAAATGCCCTTAAAGTGGGCGAGTCTACTACTTTTGCAGGCAGGGCATGCCACGCCCTTACTACTCTCTGACTAATACATCAGAATCATACAGCACAGAAACAGACCCTTCAGCCCAACTCATCTGTGCTGAATAAGTTTCCACAGAGACACACAGGCAATTGGTGTCCTTGCTGTGTGGGATCTTGCTTTGCAATGAATGGCTAGCAACTTCAAGGAAATGCCACCAGACACAAGGTTCCTGTATATTTCTCTGCACAGGATAATGTGGGACATCTGATTCACTGAGGGTGGGGAAAAGAAAGCCTTATTTTGGGTAAAAAGTAAAACACCCAGTTTAACTAAAACGCCCTGAATGTGGTCCCAATAGCTTTCCTTTGACATCCCCCAAAAAAAAAGTGTTCGGTTCCTCGCCCTCCACCCCAACCGGCAAGGTTACTCCAAAATTCCTCTGTAACGAGCTTGCCTCAGTGAGGAATTTTAACATCGCAGAAAACAGAATCTTTATGTTAAAAAAAAAGCAGAAATTCCTTCCTCAAGCCAACAGCTCACACCATCCCTGGGAGGGGAACTGGTACCAGCTGCCCTGCCCTAGAAGAAATCCCAATCACAAATTTTCTTTAAAAAAAAACAAACTTCTTTACAATCCCTACAAACTTTAAATGGGATGGACAGTGGGCGAACTCGAACTTACTCAAGGTCCTTCTGCTCCTACCTTTTATGTTTCAATATTCACAGCAGGTGTCACGTAGTGAAAGCTTTTTACAAATAGATTGATCAACGAGGGGGTTGCAATTGAGGGTTAGCTCTATCTGGATTTTATCCCCCCAACCAAACCGTTTCAAAACAAAACAAAAAAGCAGCAAGATTTAAACCAACACTTTTCAGCGTTCGAAACTTTCAGGGAAGTTAAAGAAGTTTGCAGAAAGTTTTTGCTCAAAGTACTTTGGTTTACCTAGAATTTGTTTCCTCCGGTCGGAATGGGGCTGTTCTGTGTAAACCCATTCAAAGTCACCCCTTAGAGCTTCCTTAGCCATCTCCTGGGTCCTTTCCATTCCTGAATGGTCCCAAAATCCTACCACATCAGGAAGCTTCCTTCTTCAACGGAGACAGAGAGAGAAACGCCCTTGAATACTTGACTCCTACCTTAAAACCCGACAGGAGTGATTGAGAGCTCCGCCCCGTCCTTACAAATCCCAGAGTAACCTGTCGCTTTAGCCGTGTGAGAGATTGCTAATTCCTAGCTGGGAGTCTCCAGTAATTCGTCGTTGAACACAGTAGGAGGCGCCTCATTGAGCCATTACAGCTCCCAATAGCACTCCTGGGAGAAATTGGAACAGGAGGGGCTCTGATGGCGACAGTGGTAGTGTGCCTACCTCTGAACCAGGAGGTCTGGGGTCAGGTCCCACTCGCTCCAACTGCAGGCCTAGTAGGTGTTTTTGGCCCCTTGTTATTACAAATTTAAACCCGTAAAGGTATTACGTAGAATCCCTACAGTGTGGAAACAGGCCCTTCGGCCCAACAAGTCCACACTGAACCTCAGAGCATCCCACCCAGACCCATCCCCCTATAACCCACCTAATCTACACTTCCCTGGACACTATGGGGGCAATTTAGCACGGCCAATCCACCCTAACCTGCACATCTTTGGACTGTGGGAGGAAACCGACGCAGATACAGGGAGAACGTGCAAACTCCACACAGACAGTGGTCCAAGGCTAGAATTGAACCCGGGTCCCTGGCGCTGTGAGGCAGCAATGCTAACCACTGAGCCACCGTGCCACCTAGTGGAACTCCCTGACTCCAAATATGAACACCAAACCTTCCTTCTCTATCTGGGTGTAGTTACGCTCTGCGTTAGCCAAATGGATGCATACGCTATCGAGCGTTCCTCTCCACTGGGACATCTTTGAGCTAATATTACCCTGATGCCTTATGGGGAGGCATCGCATGCCAATCCCTGATCTCGCTTGGGATCACAGTGTGCCAACACCTTAGAGGATGCTGGCTCTTTCTTCACTTCCCTGAAAGCTGTGGCTTGGCTACATGACCATTTCTAACGCTGACCTTTTTTTTAAAGAGTTGATGCCAAGGTGTCAGGACAGAGGCCAGGTTATGTATGAACTTCCTGTAATAATTCACTAACCCAAGGAAAGGCCCAAACTCTGGTACAGACATGGGAGCCGGGGCTCCTTTGATCACCCTCACTTTCTCTTCCAACTGGTGTAACCTGGATTGGTCAACTCTGTAACCAAAGTGGGTCACTTGGGGTGCCTGGTACACACATTTTCCCTCTCTAAGGCATAGGCCCTACCAAACTGCAGCATTTATCTAAATTAAATTCCATCTGCCACTCCTTGGCCCATTGGCCCATCTGATCAAGGCCCTGTGTACACTGAGGTAACCTTCTTTGCTGTGCACTACACCATCAATTTTGGTGCCATCTGCAAACTTACTAACCATACCTCCTATGTTCACATCCAAATTATTTATATAACTGACAAAAAACAGTGGACCCAGCACCAATCCTTGCACCACACCGCTTGTCATAGGCCTCCAGTCTGAAAAGCAACCCTCCACCACCACCCTCTGTCTCCTGCCTTTGAGGCAATTTTATATCCACATGGCTAGTTCTCCCTGTATTCTATGTGGTCTAACCTTGCTAAGGATTAAACCAAAGTCACATGTCTCTGCTAGTCATCTTAACCTGGTCAAAAACCCTGATACGGAAACATTAACATCCTCAAAACATTAACTCTGTTTCTAGCTCTCCTCAGATGCTGTCAGACGTGTTGGGTTTCTCCAGCAATTTCTGTTTGTGTTCCTTCTGTTTCTACATTGAGGGATGGCACGGTGGCTCAGTGGTTAGCCATGCTGTCTCCCAGCACCAGGGAACCAAGGTTGATCCCAACCTGTGTGGAGTTTCCACGCTCTCCCTGTGTCTGCGTGAGTTTCCACCGGGTGCTCTGGTTCCCTCTCACAGTCCAAAGGTTAGGGGTGGATTGGCCATGCTAAATGGCTCGTAGCATCCAGGGATGTGCAGGCTGGGTGGATTAGCCCTGGGAAATGTAGGGTTGCAGGGATAGGGTAGGGGCGTGCGTCTGGGTGAGATGCTCTAAAGAGAGCAGAGTTGATGGGCCAAATGGCCTCTATCTGCTCTGTAATGGTTCTATGATGGAAGTAACACAATATGGTGACTCAGTGGTTAGTACTGCTGCCTCACAGTGCCAGGGACCCAGGTTCGATTCCACTCTCAGGTGACTGTCTGTGTGAAGTTTGCACATTCTCCCCGTGTCTGCGTGGGTTTCCTCTGGGTGCTCCAGTTTTCTCCCACAGTCCAAAGATGTGCAGGCTAGGGTGGATTGGCCATGGGGAAATTACCCCCTGTAGTGTTCAGGGATGTGCAGATGAGGTGGGTTATAGGGGCATGAGGTCTGGATGGGATGCTCTGAGGGTCAGTGTGGACTTGTTGGGCCGAAGGGCCTGTTTCCACACTGTAGGGATTCTATGAAAAATTGTTGCTATAAGCTGCTAAAGTTGCTATTGGACAAGCATTTCCTCGTAACCTGAGCTCAAATTCCTGGCCTCGAAGTCAACTTGCAACCGTGCTATCATTATCTTGCAAATTACACTAAGTGTGACAGAATAGGTACTTCTGCCATGGCTAAGGTGGCTCAGAGAAAAGAAATTTAAAATGTTTCACCACTTCTCATCCAGATGTGAGTCAATGACGTGACCATGGAGTTCCCCGCTGATTGGCTGTATTCCTGGAGGCATGATCATCTCCCTACAACCCTGTGGACTGCCTCACACAGTTGAACAGCCTTCATTCCCCCTGCGCGACTTCTCCCCCGCCCCCCTGCCAAGGTCCAACATAATCATCAGTCATAAACAGAAGTATTGATGAAAATACACCCTTTTTCTCTTAATAGAAACGACAAAAGCAAGGTTCTGAGAATGCTGAAGATCTGAAACTTAAAAAACACTCACAAATTGCTGAAGAAACTCATAGCGTCTGTGGAGACAGAAACTGAGTTAACGTCTTGAGACCAGTATGCTGGATAGGCTGGGACCAACTTCCCTGCAGCATTGGAGGTTGAGGGGTGACCTTATTGAGGTTTATAAAATCATGAGGGGCATGGATAGGGTGAATAGTCGAGGTCCTTTTCCCCAGGGTAGGGGGAGTCCAAAGCTAGAGGGGCATGGGTTTAAGGTGAGAGGGGAAAGATTTAAAAGGGACCTAAGGGGCAACATTTTCACACAGAGGGTGGTGTGTGTATGGAATGAGCTGCTAGAGGAAGTGGTGGAGGCTGGTACAATTACATCATTTAAAAGGCATCTGGATGGGTACATGAATAGGAAGGGTTTAAAGGGATATGGGACAAAGGCTGGCAAATGGGACTAGATTAATTTAGGATATCTGGTCACCAAGAAAGAGTTGGACCAAAGGGTCTGTTTCCTATGACCCTATGACTCTTCTTCAGAAATTGGACGATACGACGTTGGGGAAAAGGAAAGCCATTCAGCCCATCAAGTCTGCTCTGTGATTCAGTGGTTGATCTGATAATCCTCAACTCCACTTTCCTGCCTTATCTCATACCCCTTGATTCCCTTCCTGATTAAAACCCTCCCGTGTCCCAAAGAAGCATCACACCAGACCTGAAACGTTAACTGTTTCTGTCTCCACAGATGCTGCCAGACCTGCTGAGTTTCCCCAGCACTTCCGTGTTGTGTTCCATTCTAGCTCTCTCCCGGCTTTTGTCTTGCTACAGTTTCTGCCAGATTAGCAGTGAATTAATCCAGGGCAGTCCTCGATGGCTAGGACTGCAAGGAGCTGGGTCCTCACCTATGTTTAATTCGAAATGCAAGCCCAAACTTTCATCTGTTGTCTCTGTATCCACTTTGCAGGATACTGAGCGGAAATACAGGCTTCTCTCTAAGTGACAAAGATCAACACAGGCTCCCCAGCTGTCTCTACTATTCAATTCTTTCCCTCTAGAAATAAATACTAGTGCTTGGTTTGATGTTTAAGGTTTCCAAGAATTTGGTTTTGTTTGATTTAGTTTATTATTGTCACTTTTACAGCGAAAAGTGATGCCTGTGTTGCACATCTTCAAGTTTGGCTTATAAGGAAAGGCTGCCAGGTAAAGCCTGTTTCTGCTGGAACAAAAACAAAGTTGCTGGAAAAGCTCAGCAGGTCTTGCAGCATCTGTGAAGGAGAAAACAGAGTTAACGTTTCGGGTCTGGTGACCCTTCCTCAGAACTGATGGTGGCTAGGAAAACGTCAGTTTATATGCAGAAAATACGGAGGTGGGTGGGGTAGGGAGTAAACGATAGGTTAGAGCCCAAAGACAGAGAAAGACAGCTGGACAGACAAAGGAGTTGCTAGCGATTAGGCTGGGAGGGTGAATAGTTGTTAATGTCTCTTTCACAGATGCTGCCAGACCTGCTGAGCTTTTCCAGCAACATTGTTTTTGTTCCTGATTTACAGCATCTGCAGTTTTTTTGGTTTTTGTTTCTGTTTCTGCTGGAGTTTAGAATAGGTAACTTAATTGAAACATACAAGTGTAAGAGTCTGATAATCAATTGCTCATCCAGGATTCATTTGATTTATTATTGTCACATGTACCTAGGTACAGTGAAAAGTTTTGTTTTGCGTGCAGTACAGGCAGATCATACTATACAAAGTGCATTAGGGTAATAGAACAGAGTGAGGAATACAATGTTACAGCTGCAGAGAAGGTGCACACAGAGCGAGATCAGTATTAAATTTAAAAATTGAGAAGTCCATTCAGAAGCCTGATAGTAGCAGGGAAGAAGCTGTTCTTGAATCTGTTGGTACGTGTGTTTAAACTTTTGTATCATTTGCCTGATGGAAAAGGTTGGAAGATATTATAACCGGGATGGGAGGGATCTTTGCTGATGTTGTCCGAGGCAGCTGGAAGTGTAGATGGAGTCAGTTGATGGGAGGTTGGCTCGCGCGATGGTCTGGTCTGTGTTCATGACTCTCTGTAGTTTCTCATGGTTCTGGGTAGAGCAGTTACTGTACCAAGGAGTTTATTTGAAACAGTAAAACACATTATAAGTTATGAAGCAGGCATTACGGTAAACTGTGTGTTCAGCAGACCAACAGACAGGCAGAGTCACAACATTGCATACACCCAGCATATAGAGTCCTTAAAAGGAATTCTCTTAAAGGCAATGAACAAGAGCAAAACTAGTTGAAGAAACTTGGCAGGTTGGCACCATCTGTGGAGTTAAAGCAGACTTAAAGCTTAGAGTCCAGTATGATTCTTTTTCAGAACTGATAGTAGCTAGGAAAAGGTAGTGTATGAAGTGATGACAGAGTGGGAAAACTGTATTTACTGGATGGAGATGGAGCCCAGAGGGAGAGAAAGAGAGTTATGCAGACAACGGGATGGATAATGGTGAGCCAGAGAGGAGAACAGCTAATTATGAAGGCAATGAGTAGTTGAAAATGGATTACCTGTTCTGAAACAACAAGGTGCAGGGCTGGATGAACACAGCAGGCCAAGCAGCATCA